GAGACTGTTTCAGATAATTTGAGTGTGTTGCCGGGAGGGAGCAGTCTTTGGAGGATGCCATGCTTAGAAGGGTGGAGGAACAGTGCAGGAGAGGAAGACCCAGATGAGATGGACACAGTGACTGGGGAAATGAGGGTGGGTGCATCAGAGACAGTGACCTGGCTGTGGAGAGAGCTGTTGTTCAGAGCTCTTGTGCACAGGGCCACGGTGAGTTGCAGTTGCCTCGACGGCGCAGAACACGTTCAGTGTGGCACATATGTTACTGTTGGTCACCCTTGAGTCAATTCTCACCCTTAGCAGCCCTGCTGGACTGTGTACAGCTGCCCTGTGGGCATCCTAGGCTCCATCTTTTGGGGAGCAGATCACCGAACCTTTATCAGAACAGCCGTGGCTTAGAACCACTAAGCTGTCAGCTAATAAGGCTCCCTCGACACGTAGCCCAGGGAACAGAGAACAAAGCTCCGAGGACCACCGTCCTTTCCTCTTGTCTGTCGTGGTCTAGAAGCTTCACTGAAACCTGTCCCCTGCAGGTGACTTGCTGGTCATTTGAAATCCCAGTGGCTTAGGTTCCAGCATCCCAGCGACAACACACATGTCATCTCAGTCCCACACAGTGGCAGACAGTGGTATGTGGGTCAGTTAGCAGAAAGGAGGCCAGGGCCACCCGAGGCTCCTGCCAGGGTGCCCTGCATGGTCCATGCTGAGGCCGGAGGCGGGCGGCTGTGTTTGCACTGCGGGTGTAACCACTTTCCCGTGCATGGGGGCTGATGGTGCAATGTTTGGGTTAGAAGATAAACAAACAGGATTGACGGGATCCTGTGAGGGAGGGAGTGGGGTCGCCTCTTGAGTTAGCAGGTGCTTCCAGCTCCCTGAAGTCGGGGCGCCTCTACCATTGCCACACTCCTGTTCCTCTCCACAGGGTTCCCTCACCATCTTGGCTTTAAGGAAACCATTCTTTCTTGTTGGAAACCTACACAGCAAAGTTGAGCAGTGGGGAAGGGGCATCAGCACACCAGGGCAGAAGGGCAGCGTCCACCCTGGGAGAAAGCTCACAGGAAGGAGGGGGCAGGAAGGAAAGATGGGCGGGGTGGAACAGCAGGGACTGAACCACAGTGGAGCCTTCCAGAAAGTTCCACTGGGCCTACCCTGGTGGGTGCTGCCTCTCGGGAGACCACTTGGCTGTGGGAGATCCTTGAGCAGGTGTGAACCCTGCTCCTGGGGCCATGGTGGTGGGGTGTCCATATCGGTTCTGACCCATAGTGTCCCCACAGACAGCAGGGTGACCCTGGGAACAGCCGGGCGCAGCACTGGGGGCAAGGCTGGTCTTATACCTGAGAGCATTTCTGCATGGATGCTGTGCGGACCGTGTGATTTTATGGCGAGTCGTGCATGCGAGGTGATGAGGAGGAGTGGGGTCAGGGTGGCCTTGCTGCTCTGGACCCTCAGTTTTGGTGCTGCAGGGTTGGGTGTTTCCTGTTAAAAAATGTTCATCTTGATTCCTTGGGCCTCGTGGCCTGGAGATGGGGTTTTTGCTTTACCACCAGGTTTCTACCTTTTAAGAAAACAGTTGTGTCATTTTTAGAATTTTCTTCTTGGAGGGGCTATCTCCTAGTGGCTGGACAATATGGAGACCAGAGGATGCTCACCTGAGCCCAAGGAGCTGGGGGCGGGGAGCCCTGCCCGGGAAGGGAGTTGAGAAGCCTTGGTGAAGTCATCCTGCTGGATTCTGGGGCTGTCAGAATTGGGGTACCGTGGAGTGCTGAGGGAGGCATGGCATTCCCAGCCAGGCTGGAGCGAGTGTCCTCCGAGAGCCCTGTCCACTCTTGTGATGGGAGGTGCTCTGTCCAGTGGCAGGAAGGGCCAGTTTGTGTTTGTAAATGGAGCGTTAGGTCGTGTGTCTTAGTACTCACCAGTGAGACCCCCAGGAGGGGAAGGGACACAGGGAAGAGGGAGGTCATGCATGTTGGCAGGTTCCGACTCACAGCGACCCTGCAGGACAGAGGACAGCTGCCCACAGGCTTTCTCAGGTCATGATCTTTACAGAAGCAGATGGCCACGTTTCTCCTGAGCCACTGGTGAGTTCAAACTCCAGTCTTATCAGCTCAGCCCTTAACCATGGCCACCACTTTCAGCAAGTCAGGCTGCATCGTCTGCGTTAGCCAGCTTGTTGAATCCTCCAGTCCTCATGCTGCATTCCTCTTCACAGAGTCCAGCTCCTCTGATTTTTTTTTCTCAGCACAGAGTCAAGAGGTATGGAGAAACATCATTACTTCTGGGTACTTTTTATTTACTATGGCTCCCAGCTCTTTGTTATAAAACAGCTTATTTCAGGTTGGGGACTTTTAAAATGTTGGTGTGTTTTTTTTTAGTAGACCTTAAAGACAGTTTCATATTTACAGAAAGTTATAAATATAATACAGATAGTTCCCGTACACCCTATACCCCATTTACCTATGACATTACTGACTTCATTACTGAGTTCTACTGCAGCAGAAACACACACACCTACTCCTCCCTTAGTGACCATCTCCTCACCCGGTAGTTCATGTTTACCCTAACAGTGAAAAATCTACCACCTGACTCTTTTAAGCTTTAACATCTGGCAGTAACTGGGGTGAGGGTAATACTGACTTTGATGGCTCAGCTTTTGTGTCCATGTGGCTGGCCCATGATTTCCAGTGGATTGGCAGTTATATAATGATGCAATTTGGCAGTTATGTAACAATATAATGTGGTTTTTATGTAACAGTGCAGTGTGGCAGTTATGTAACAAAGCAATGTGGCAATTATGTAACGATGCAATATGACAATCATGTAACAATGCAATGTGACAGTTTTGTAGTGATGTAATGTGACAGTTACATATGTAAACTGATGGCTGTGCAATGATGTAGTCATCCTCCATGTTTGTGGTCTGGTGGGTTTATCCTCTATTTTTTACATAATGACCTGGTTTTAGAATCCAGTCATGTTGATGATTGAGGAGTGGATATACCACAGTGGGTGATTTTAAACAGAAATTTGTTTTCTCATTTCTTACGAGGACCAAAAGTGTGTCTTCTCTGCTCTTTTCTAGCTCAGAGGGGATTAGTCTTAGCGTTCACCCTACCCAGGTGTGACCTAGTGAAGAAGATGAAGAAGACCCAGTCATGTACCTAGAGAGGTGGGGTTAGCATTCCAGCACTCACCTAAGGGTCATGATTTGTCCTAGGATAGTGCTAGTCTGGGTGAACTGTTTTGTGGGGTTTTATTAATTATTTTATTTCTTTTTCATTTCAATGAACATCTACAGAGATTTTGGGATTCCATTCATTCATTGTTGCACCCTTCTCCCCGCCCACCCTACCGTTTTAAGTGCTGTTGAGGCAAACACGACTCTTAGCAACCCTAGAAACGACAGCTATGAACTTACTGTGTCCTGTGTCGTCCCTCATGTTCTGCGTCCTGCCCAGGCCCGCTGTGGCAGTCACTGTGTCATCTGGTAGAGGGTCTTTCTCATCGTGATGCGTTATTGTCCCCCATGCTCGTGCCCCGCCCCAGCGCCCCACGTGGCCTCTGGTGCCCGTCTCGTGGAAACTCTCTGAGCTGTGGCAGGTTCTCAGACGTTCCCTGTTTCTTTTGGACAACAGCCGTTGTTGAATGTTTGCTCTGCAGGAGCTGGAGACGGATCTGGGAGTCTTTATCTTAAAGCTCCTGGGTTTCATGCCAGTTTCACAAGTGAGATGCCATCATCGCAGTTTAAATTTAGCCTGGCCTGGGTTATCACGAGGGCCGGTAGGAGCAGAGGTGCCGGGCGCAGGTCTCACGTGGCCCCTGACCGGTGGGCTGTCACGGGGAGCTGGGCCCTCACGGCCGAGCCCACATCCAACAGGGGATGCAGCTGCTCTGTGCTTCACCGTCCCTTGTCTGTGAAGCAGGGCTCACCCCGGCCCTTTGCCGTCTGCCCCGTGAGCACCAGAGGGGTTACTTGTCTTCATTGTTTACACAAGTTATGACTCAGGATTCTTTCCCAGTGTGATTCACAGCTCTCAGGGACCGGTGAGAACCACAGTATCGAGGTGCGGGAGCTTTAGTTGTGCTCAGCACCCCCTCATCACGGGCTTCCTGCCCACTGCTGGGCCCTTGCCAGGGGCTCTGACACTTTACAGCTGTTGGAATGGCAAGGATGTCCTCCAGGACGTCCCCTCTCACCAAAAATGAAGACACCCTAGTCACCTCAAGTTAGCTGTCACTGCTGGTGCTGTGTGGACCAGACCAGGGCCGGGCTGGTACTGTTCTCAGTGGCTGATCTCCAGGCCTGTGTTCCAAGGCACCTGGGGGTGGGCTGGAACCTGCTGCCTTTCTGTTAGCATGCAACCGCCCGCCTAGAGTGGAAGAAAGGCCTGGCAGTTGGTTTCCAGATGATCAGCTGTTGAAAACGGTGTGCAGCACCGGTGTGGAGGGACACTTGGGTGGCCGCTAACAGGGACAGGAGTGCAGCCATGACAGAGTGCCGGCCAAGGGAGGAGAGGGGACGCAGGCTGGTCCCCAGTGTCTGCAGCGGGGCACCTGTGGGGGCATTTGGATGGTGAGGGGCTGGACCCCAGTGCTTGTGGGTATGTTCCGCCGGTCAGCTTGGGAACAGCAGAATGCAGTGACCGGAAGCAGAGCAGGGCAGTAGGTCAGTTGGACAGAGACGCTGGAGGGCCGGGCCAGGCCAGGAGGGTGGGTGGTGGAGGACCCCACAGGGTGGTCCTGGCACGTCTCTTGTGCTCAGCACATCTGGGGCTCCCCTGGGGAGATGAAAAGCAGACTCCCCCCATGCCCACGTGACCTCAGGTCTCTCTGGGGGTGACGGATGGAGACTGTGGCTCTCTATGCCAGCTGGACCCTGGGGCATCCGTGGGGCGTCCCTGGGGCAGTGGGTGGAGATGAAGATGCCCCTCCCTCCATGCTCGGGTTACCCCAGGGCCCCCCCCCGAGACCCCACCACTGGTGACCTGCCTCTCCTCTGTCCCTAGACGGCCTCCACAGTGTCACCGCACTCTGCACACTACGCGTCACCATCATCACCGACGACATGCTGACCAACAGCATCACTGTCCGCCTGGAGAACATGTCCCAGGAGCAGTTCCTGTCCCCGCTGCTCGGCCTCTTCGTGGAGGGCGTCGCGGCTGTGCTGTCCACCGCCAAGGACGACGTCTTCGTCTTCAACATCCAGAACGACACAGACGTGCGCGCCAGCATCCTCAACGTCACCTTCTCGGCGCTGCTGCCCGGCGCGCGCCGCTTCTTCGCGTCCGAGCAGCTGCAGGAGCTGCTATACCTGAACCGGACGCTGCTGGCGGCCATCGCGGCCCAGCGCGTGCTGCCCTTCGACGACAACATCTGCCTGCGCGAGCCCTGCGAGAACTACATGAAGTGCGTGTCGGTGCTGCGCTTCGACAGCTCGGCACCCTTCCTCAGCTCGGCCACCGTGCTCTTCCGGCCCATCCACCCGATCGCCGGCCTGCGCTGCCGCTGCCCCGCCGGCTTCACCGGGGACTACTGCGAGACCGAGGTGGACCTGTGCTACTCCAGCCCCTGCGGTGCCCACGGCCGCTGCCACAGCCGGGAGGGCGGCTACACGTGCGAGTGCCAGCCGGACCACACAGGTCAGTGGGTGGGGACAGCAGGAGAGGTCGGGGGGGGGGGGGGGGCAGTGGGACGGGACAGCAGGAAGGGTCAAGAGGAGGGGCACATATACGAGTGCTAGCCGGACCACACAGGTGCGGGGCAGTGGGAGAGGGTGGCAGGAGGGGACAGCGGGAAGGGACAGGAGGAGGGGGAAATGTGCCAGCAGAGCACACAGGTCAGCGGGTGGGGACAGTGCGAGGGGACAGTGGGAGGGGACAGCAGGAGGGGTCAGGAGAAGGAGTAAATGTACGTGTGCCAGTGGACATGTGGACATGTGGGAGGGGACAGTGGGAGGGTAGCTACACATGTGAGTGCCAGCCAAACCACACAGGTGCGGGGCAGCGGGAGGGGGTGGCGGGTGGGGACAGCAGGAGGGGTCAGGAGGAGGGGTAAATGTATGAATGCCATGGACCATACAGGTGCGGGTGGTGGCGGGAGGATGGCTACATGTGTGAATGACAGCTGGACCACACAGTTGCGGTGGCAGTGGACGGGAGATAATGGGGAGAAGGGCAGAGGGAGGCTACGTATGTGAGTGCTGGCTGGACCACAGAGATGCAGGATAGTGGGTGAGAGACAGCAGGCAGGGGGCAGAGGACAATGGGAGGGGACAGTGGGCGGGGGCAGGGGACAGTAGGAGAGGGCAGTGGGAGGACAACTATACCTGTGAATGCCAGCCAGACCACACAGGTGTGGGAAAAGCGGTGATGTCGGGGCAGCATGCAGGGGTCAGCAGGTGGGGGAAGCAGTTGGATCCACAAGCTGGGGGTAGAGGAAGGGTGGTTACGTGTGTGAGTGCGGGCAGGACCACGTGGTGGAGGTGGGCAGTGGGTGAGGTTGGGGGGGCAGTGCGTGGGTCAGCAGGTGAGAGTCAGCATCCTGGGTCATGTGCAGCGTCCTTGCAGCCCTGGTCCGCGTCTTTGAGGTCCCTAGAGCCCACTCGGCACCTGGAGGGCTTCTGGCAGTTAGTTCCTTGTTCTGTTCACTTCTCTCCGGGTGCAGGGTTGGAGGGTGGTCGCTGGCTGAGGTGTGGGCGTGTGAACTTGAATGCAGGAAGGGCCTGCCATTCCCCCAGGTGCTGATGTCTCATCTGGCCCCCACTCCGCTCATCATGCACACTGGGTGTTGTGTCTCATCTGCCCCCCACTCCCTGCCTCCGAGACCTCCTTCAGCTTCACCCCTGGACTTAGATGAACCCCAGATGGTACAGAGAACTGGCACACTGGCTACTTAACTGTGAGGCTGGAGGTTTGAGGCCACTTGGGCACTTCTGAGAAAATGCCTTGTGGTAGACTTATTATAGACTGACCACAGAAACCCTGGGGGGCCCCATTCTGTTCTGACTCACAGCTCACCTGGGGTGAGAGACCCATTTCCAAGCAGAACCCCAGGCACAGATCCAGGCTTAGGGTGCCAGTGCCCGCTTTCATTGGGGGACACAGTTCAGCCCATAAAACCCAGTGACATAAGTCTACCCTTTATGGGAAGAGCACAGAGCAGGTGGGAAAGACTATCAGCTACCCCATGGTTGTGAAGAACAAATAAACCTGTCTGAAGGCCGTGCAGTCAGGGCTCCTTAGAGACCAGGCAGGGGGCGTCCTCTCACACACTTGGGCGCGTTATTAGAGACCAGTCCTTGGAGAAGGCCATCATGTTTGATAGAGGGTCAGTGAAGTAGAGGAAGACCCTCAGTGAGGCAGGCTGGCGACTTTGAGGGTGGGCTCCAGCACAGCGGGCATCTGCACAGGACTGGGCAGATTCCCCTTGTACGTGGGGTCACTGTGAGTCAGAGCTGGCTGGTCAGCACCTAGTAACATCCAGAGGATGGTGGGACCCTCAGAGTGCAAACGCTTTATACTCGGCCACTCTCCCTATCTCAGGGAGCCCTGGTGGCCTACCGGTAAGGAACTGTGCTGCTAGTGCAAAGGTAGGCGGTTCGAATCCACCAGGGGCTCCATGGGAAAGATGGCCAATCTCCTATGCAATTTATAGCCTCTACAAACGTGCTGAAGGCTCAGCTGTGAGTCAGTTCTGACTCAACAGCACACACAACTATCCTAAGCTTTGGCAGTTCAATCTCACCCTTTGGTTCCAAGGAGTAAGGGCCTGGCTGTCCTCCTTAGGAGAGGTCATAGCTCAGAAAACTCCAGAAAAGTTCTGCTTTAACAAGTGGGGTCATCATGAACGGGAATCAGATCACTGGCAGCAGGCTTGGGTTTTTGTGGGAAGTGGTAACAGAGTGAAATCAACTTTAAGAAACTTGATGCCTGTGCCTGCCTGCCCCTCTTTGGAGAGGTCTTGGATTTAAAGTGCTTTATTCCTGGCTCCATTGTTCGTGCAGCCCAGGGTAGGTGGGCAGAAGTCATCACCATTAATCACTTGCGTCTTCAAGGCTTGGGCTTGCCCACGCCTCCTGGTCCCTGCAGGAAGGAGCCAGGTTTCTGCCTTTGAAGATGCGTGTCTGTGTCCTGACACATCACAAAGACACCTAGCCCCACGTGTAGCCAGCACTGTTCTTTAAAAGGAAGGGCCAGCGCGGGAGCCGCCCGGAAATAACACGTGCCTCCTTCTCACACTCGCCCTCAACTGCGTTCAGTGCCATCAAGTCAGTACAATCCATGGTCACCCTGTAAACGAGGCATCTGAACCCCGTCCTGCTGGCCTGTGCCAGGCTCACCCTTCCTCACACTCAGACCATCGCAGCAGTCACTGTGGCAATCCAGCTGGTCGAGGGTCTTCTCTCTCGCTGTCCCTCCCCCTTTCTAAGCCTGAGGTCCCTCTCCAAGGAATAGTCATCCTAGCAACACGCCCAGAGTATGTGAGGTGAAGCTTTGACTAGGTGCCGTTGATCCAGCTCTGACCCATGGCCTCCTCACATCCGAGCCAACAAAGCTCTGGGCCGTGACCGTCCCCACCATGTGCAAGCTCAGTTGACACTGGGTCAGTCTGTTTGCTTCCTCTGTGCTGACCGTCTCCTTCCCCAGCATGATGTCCTTCTCTGAGGACTGGCCCCACCTAACAACATCCCCAGAGTACACGGGACCAGCCGCCATCCTCACCTCCGAGCAAGGTCCAGCATGTGAATCACGGACCCGTGCCTGTCCCGTCTCTGCAGGCTTCTGCCGTGAGGGGCTCCCTCCGTGAGAAGCGCTCACCGTGAGAGGCTCCCACTGTGAGGGGCTCCTCCACAAGGGGCGCCCGCCATGAGGCGCTCCTGGGGATTACCGGCTCGCTTCATACCGGAGATGCCTCTGTGGTCCCCCACGCCGTCGGCTCCATTAACGTGTTTAATACACACACCTGGCAGGTTGTCCCTGGCTGGCTGGGGGTTATGCGGCACATAGCTCCATTTACCCAGCTTATGGCGGGGGTTAAAGTATTAGCAGGTTTTATGGAGCAGGAAGAGACAGTTAAACCAGGAGGAGAAACACAAAGAGAGAGAAAGCCCGCTGCCCAGGGCTGTCCACTGGGGGAGCGGGGAGTGGGTGGTGGGCAGGGTGGCTGCTGGGGGGGAACACCTTCCCGCACCTTCCATGCAGAGCCTTGGTGGGTGCGCAGGTGGGGAGGGGCTGGGTGGTCTCTTCCAAGCTCTGCCTCACATACACAGACAGGCTTTCACATACACAGATGTGCCAGTTGGCAGAATTGATGGTGTGGGACCCAGCACCCCTGCCTCCGCTGGACAAGAGCGGGTGACTGACCCCCGTCCTGTATTGGCCTCAGCCCCTACAGAGGGCCTGCCTCACTCCTGGGGCTCAGTATGGTCAACTGCTTGGTGCACATACTGGCCAGACAACACGGGCCAGCATTGCTGGCCCCAGGCTGCCATATGAGTGGCCTTTCATTGGTGGGGACAGAGCGTCTCCCAGGACCTAGTGGGGATGGGCCCTCCAGCACCTCACTCTCTGGCAGCTTGGTCTGGGGCTGCCAGGAAGCTCCAGTCCAGTGCTGGGGTGCAGACATGAGGGAGGGTCCACACTGGCTGCGGGGCTGCTGGGAGCAGGTTAGACCACAGGTACTTTCGTTTTGTTTTCCCCTTGGCTGCTGTATGGAGCACTGCAAGTAGGCGGTCATAGAGAACGCCTGGACCTGGAGCCCTGAAGCTCTGGAACCAGGGAGCCTGGGAGCCCAGGACCCCTGGAGTCCTGAGACCTGGGAGCTCTGGAACCTGGGAGCCCAGGAGCCCTGGAGCCCTGGCCTGGGCTCTGCTGTGTGAGCTCCTCCTGAGGCTCCAGGAACATCCCGCTCGTGCCTCCATCCAGTCCCACTGCCTGCGGGTCCCTAGCCTGCAGCTGTGGTGTTACGTGGTGTTGTTCCTCTGTACCCCACTGCCCCACACCATATCTCTCTTACAAAAACACCATTCAGAGAAGGACTAGCATATCACCCTAACGTGTGACGTTCTCTGAGCCCTGGTGGGGCAGCGGATAAATACTCAGCTGCTAACCCAAAGGGTGACAGTTTGAACCCGCCCACCTCTGTGAGGTAGAAAGATGAAGCCATTGGTTCCATCGAGATGTGGGGCTGGGAAGCCCTGGGGGCTGGTTCTGCTCGGTCCTGTGGGTTACTATGAGTCAGAACCAACTCAACAGGGATGGTCTTCAAAGAGGGTCTCCAGAGACCCAGTTTCCAGTTAGGGACACGTTGGCCCATCGTGGGTCAGGGTCAGCTAAGACCCTTGGGGGCCTGAAAGCCTGCAGATTCTCTCCTGATGGACAGCCCATTGGGTCAGCACCACCCCAGAAGCTCTCACTCTGCTTCTTTCTGGTGGAGCTACACTCTGAGAAAGCATCTATGAGGGGTGACCAAGCCCTTCACCTCCAGGACCGTCCTGGATGGACAAATGGACGCAGGGATGGGCAAGGGGCTCCATGGGTGCTGAAATGACCCCGCTGTGTCCCTGAGAGATAAGAGCAATCAAGGCCGCTGCTGTTTTAACCCTGCCCCTCTTCCTTTCCCCCTCCCTCCCCTTTGAAGC